AAAATTCAATATCCTGAAATTGCCTGGGAGATAAAAAAAGAGAGCGAGTTTGGTATTTGAAAGCACGCATATTGACGTCTTTTTTGCTAATTGGCATTGCACGCACAAGATCGAACAGAATTAACTGTTCAGGCACAAAATTAGTTTAAAATAGCTGTATGCATTACCCATAAGCTTTCTAATTATATAGCTTTTCCTAATCTATCGTTTTGAGCAAAGATCCTAGTCTTTTCTGTAGGAGGTTTCTCGCTCGCAACATCGACAGATCCGTCTATGGAGCTAGTTTTAAAAATCTACCATGCACTTACATGCAAAAACCTCGTCGATATTCACAGCCTCGTATGCACTGGATCGTAAAGGGTAAATGAAGCGTGCCACAGCAATCCCTAGCTGAGAATTGATTATTATGGCCTCTGTATGCTGTATGTGTATGAAATGCTGCTAGAATACTCTTGTATCTATTTATGCTTAATGTAAACAAATTTCCTGAAATCGTATATGATGGGATAATACTGTATTTACAGAGATGACAAATGTTTTCAATTGCTGTGAGTAAATGAAAGAAAGCCCCCCCCCCTGGCACGCATGATTGGCTGCTATAGGTCGTACTCTCGTTTATCAGCTGAGCACGATATTTCGAGGGAGCACAGAGGAGAATTTATATATACGTTCCCGCCAATTCCAATATAATTTTGGAGAAGCTATATACATCATTTACTCGCAGTATTTATGGATATATACAAGGCGCCTTGAATCATAGTTTTTGGACAAAATTAAGGGGGGTTGCTACTAAAAGGGGTCACCCTTATTATTTAAAAGTTGGTGCGCTTTGCTGGCGCAATAGTTATAGAAAAAGTCTTTCATCTTTCAGTGAAATCGTGGGTTCGATTCTCGTTTCGGAATCAAGATCTTCAATAAATCTATGCTCTGCTGAAAGGGTATACTCCAATTTTCTTCCACAGGGAATGTTGACAGGGTGGGTTGGGATGAGCCCCCTAACTGACCCTTCCACCGTAGCTGTGCTCGCGTGGTCAACTGACGCGAAGCATGGCTGCCAGTGGCGCCCTTGTATACAAAACTCAACCAGTGCACCAGGTCGAGCTGCGTCCTTCAGTTCAGCTTTCGCTGTAGCTCTGAGCTGCAAGTAAGGATCATTAGACACCCCAATTAACTTGTGTGCTTACCCCATCCATTCATTACATATACGTATAATGCCACTCGATTGTGGACGTCCAGTGTAGACGGTATATTCAATATATGTGGTGGTAAACACCATCACATTCGATATCTACCCATCTTATCTTTCACGGCCATTTAATCGCGCGAATTTAATTCACATGCAGTCATGGTACACGAGGTCATAACTACAATTTTGTTGTCCCTAAATCAAAAATAGTCTCGAATATAATGGAGCATGGTATGGAATTCAATACCAATTGAAATTAGGAATTCCACCTCGCTAAAAATATTCAAAAATAAACTGTAGAAATAATTTGTTATGTATGTATCTTTACTTTCTCGCTCTCTGGTAAATGTTGTAAATAATTCAAATGTCACGGCGCCTGGGAAGATTCATCTCAATTTGGATGACAGGCCACAGTGCTTAAATAAAGTTCACTATCACTATATAACTGATTTGATTTGACGTTTCGAGCGAAGTGCTCTACTCTGAAGGTTGATAGGGTTTTTCACAAAATTTTCAGGTATAGTTCAGACACAAACCGCGGTAGCTTTTATACTGTAAACAATCCTTGGTGAAAAGGTCCACGCAGCAATGCATATACACGATCCATCCAGGCGGTACCATTCAAACGTATTTCTGATTTTAATTTCGTCTTTGTTTACATTGTCGGGCATACAATAAAATGATCATTTCCTTTGACGTTTATAAACAACGCTCTTCCCATTCGCATCGGTTTTATTTTAGACCGTGCTAATGATTTAATTTTTTGTCTGTTTTCTCGCTTTTAGGTTTGCGACCATTTGCCGACCGTCGTCGAACGTGCTGCAGTGATCATCCCGCTTTGTTTTGATTAGAAATACCTATTCCTTTGCTGTGGAACAGAGTCGGAAAGCTGTACAGGCGAAAACAGGCTAGAACTTGCAGATCCTAGCAGAGAGGTTACTCCGAAATTTGCTTTTATTGAAAAGATATCACGTCATCTTGCGAAAACAATCGCTTTCGATTCTGGTCAGATCGTCGCCAAATCGTTTACTTTTTTAAGTGATTGATTTAATAATTGAGCCGGTCTGACAAGACTTTTTAAACTTTGTTGATTGATCTGCCGGTGTCATCGACAGCTTTGCGTTGACGAGAGAATACTGCGGCAGGGAGAGAAAGAGAGGAATATCGAGGACAGAAGAGGCGATATACACAGAGGGAAGAAAAGAGCTATACACCACATTCCTGGAAGATGATATTTGCTGCGTGGTTAAATGTTGTGGTGGTGGTTATTCATACTGTATCGTGTAAACGGAACATTGATAATTCGTGGTGAGTATATGAGTTATTTATTTACTGTAATATGTTCTTGCTAGCGTTTGTCCTGGGATATGGATGCATGCATGGTAGAAGATTCTCTACCATTAATTTACTAGTTCAAACGGTTGGTTTTCAGTATAGTAGGTATAGCGTGCATATATAGCCCGTCTTAAAATACACGTCCTTTAATTAATTGTGGTAGATTATCGCTTTTCTAAGCTTCAAACGGCTGGTTCTCAGCGTATGGTATAGATGTTTTCAAACACACGTAATTTTCGATAGATTCTCACTCCCCTATACTTCAAACGGCTAGTTTTCAGTGCAGGTATAGATGTCTTAATATTCACTGATCTCTCTCTCTCTATATATATATCTATCCTCGTTTGTCTCAACTTCAAACGGTTGGTTCTCAGTTTATAAGTACTGGTCTTGAAATAAACGTTCTTTGTATAGTATATCGATTTCATTAGCATGAAATTCAGACAGCTGGTTTTCAGTGAAGGTTTCTTCAAAGATACAAATACTTTTTGGTAAATTCTCACTATACTCCAAACAGCTGGTCATTCGCAACATATGCAATCGCAACATATGTCCGCAACATATGTCCTTGGTGATAGATTCTTACTGGCATAGATTCCAAACGATTGCCGGTTTGCAGCATAGGCAGTGGTTTTGAAATTCTCGAGATCGTCCTTGGTAGTAGATTCTTGCTATAGCATAGACTTCAAACGGTTGGTTTGCAGCATATAGGAAGTGGTTTTGAAATACTCGTCCTTGCATGGTCATAGATTCTTGCTAGCATAGATTCCAAACGATTAGTTTGCGGCATAGGCAGTAGTTTAAATTTGAAGTTCTCGTCCTTGGTCGTAGATTCTTGTTAGCATGGATTTCAAACGGTTGATTTGCAGCATATAGGACGTGGTTTCTAAATACTCGTCCTTGCATGGTGGTATAGATTCTTGCTAGCCTAAACCAGTAAGTACTCTCCAAATTGAGTTCCTTTATGTAAACAATTTCACCATAGGTTAAAAATTTTAGTTTTCAGCCTAGAGGCAATGCACACGCTTGAGATTTCCCCTGTTCTGCACTATGTTCACGGCAGATGGTTGGCTAGTCAAAGTCATTGAAGAATTCTGAAGTTGTTGACTTGTTGTAAAGTAAATCTTTGGATAAAAAAAGCTAATTTCATGTAAAACTCTCAACGCGAAAGAAATTCGGAAAAGGTGTCTGGCGTCATAAAGGGTAAAATTCTAAAATTGGTGACTACTTATTATAACTCATTCCTGACCCATTATCCACAGGATAATGATTTTCTCAACCGTTTTCAAAATGCTTAAAAAGTTATGAAACAATGGATATGGACTCGAAATAAAACGAAACTAATTTGATACATATAAATACTAAAGTTTAATCTGATTGCGGCAATTGAACCATCTATAACCACCTGAGTCCTGACAAAGGTTGAAAACCCTTCTACTCCGAGCGAAGCCCTTCGTTGAGAAGCACCTTCGTCAAGTGTTTTTAAACTTTTTTCAAGAAATCCCGATTCCAAAACCGCAACAGCTTAGGCCAAATAGAAATATAGATCCATAAATCATAATATGGACGGGAAAAGATTAAACTGAGATAGGGTCATATATATTTTACGGCTTCGTCGGTAGACACGGCGAGGCGGCGTACATTTCGGAACTTTAAACCTTTTGTGCAAGCACACATTATGGAATTAATTTGTTTGTTCGGATTAAGATTTTGTTTTCAAGTTATCATTGCATAACAGCTAATCCCATATTAAACATGTATTATATAATATAAGCATCCAATTTCTTTCGACATTTCTTGAAAATGCTCTCGTTTCCTTCGAATTCCTGTTCGAGTTAGGAGATTTTCTTCTGTACGATAAAGTCAATCGCAGCCAAATAGGGTAGATTGCATGCATAGTTTTAGTCAGCATTCTAACATCATTACAGTAATGAGATGTACAGGAAAGAATATTTACCTTGAAAAATCTCTCATCATAATCTGCTGTGGTTTGTGTTTGGACAACATGAAAATAGTTCAAACGTCGAAGTGTTATTCAATGTTTATCTCTTAGTTTAAAAACCAACCCCGATAGTTTATTGTAGAATACTACTTACACTGGACTACCACGTTTGAGATATCTTTTTCAGGTAGTTCAGACACAAACCACGACAGCTTATTGCAGAATATTACCTGCACTGGACCACCACGTTTGAGATATTTTTTTCTGGTAGTTCATGATCAGACACAAACATGGCAGCTTATTGCAAAATATTACCTACACTGAACCACCACGTTTGAGATACTTTTTCTGGTATAGTTCAGGGGCAAACCACAACAGCTTATTGTACGGCCTCGCGATACTAGCCATGGTCAGTGAGCTCTAATTGTCTGGAGCTTGAACTTCAGTCATTCGGCCCAGGGGCGGCGCTAACCCTCTTCGAGTGGGGGGGTGTGAGTGATCTTTTGCCGACTGTTGTTTGGTAATTTTGCCGAGTCATTAGCCTATAGTGAGGGTCCTGAAGGGGGAGGGGAGGGTCCCAATCCCATTTTCCACCTGAAATTTTGGCGAAATCCCAGTCCCAGTTGGATTTTTATTAGAAATCCCAGTCCGAGTTATTGAAACCCCAGTCAATAAAAACCCCTTTATTTATCGGTAGAATAAACAGTTTTAAGACCTTTTAAGCCACCGTGTGTGCAAGTGGCGGACATTTTATGAAATATTGGGCGGGAGGCTCGTGCCGAAGGAACGGAAAATTTTTAAATTTGAATCCCGGAAATGGCATTTGCATCATTCTGAGACACGCATAATCAGAAAACCCCAAATTCCTGTCGGCATCCATTTTGCGGCCCTCGAAAAGTCAAAATCTCGGCATTTCTTAAAATCTGTTCCACGTCTTGGAGCACTATTAATCACGCATTTAATTTACGAATCATTGAAATCGGAATATAACTGGAACGTTACCTGCAGCCGGAAAATTCGAAAGTTGGAGCCAAATTTTAACTCCAGACGGGCGAAATTTGATCTTCAAACATCTAACGTATATACACAAAACACAATACCCGTCAGTTTTTAAACCTTACACCGTAATAAAATTTGCATTGCTGCATGTGTGGCTTCTTTGATGCATGCTATTCGTGATATTCGCTTTGAATTCAATTATTCAGGAGGTCAATTTTGGTTTCTTCAGTGGTTATCTTTAGCCAATCCAGTTTTGCCGACTGAGATAACAATTTGCCGATTAGCTGACGAGTGGGGGGGTGTTCCACCCCCCCACCCCCCCCTGTAGCGCCGCCCCTGCTTTTTTCAAACTGAAATATATGTGCTTAGTTTTCTCTGAAGTAGTCGCATAAATCATTGAGATTAGGGCTACATTTTATTAAACTCGCGATGCGACTACAATGACAATGTCAATGTAATTAGTGACGTGTTTGATAGTTTGTATAAACAAACTTCCGAATACACAGAAATTATAAAGTAATATCAAACCTGATGTATAGAACATACGCTGAATTTACTTTGTTATATGCACAATAACTGCATGTAAGCGACTTGCTCTTTTAAGAAACCAATTTGCTAATAATCATTCTTTTTTCAAAATCATGCGGATCTTTATTTATCATTTAAATAATATACCCTTAAAATACTGACAATAGATTAATTTTAAGTAGCTACATTATCCATGACAAACTGCAAAAAATGAAGATATTACCCATACTTTTCTGCAACTTATCCAACATATCAGACTTGTAAACACGATGGCATACCCTATAGGGAGTATCGTTAAGTTGAAGTTCTGAGCAATTTCAGAACTCTGTATGTCGCCGCCATGCCATTAAGTTGGGGCCATGGTCCCGCTTCCCCGGGTCCTGAAATTTAATGAAGTGTGACGTGCGTATTTTGAGCAATGTAAATTAGTCGCACTTCATGATATAACAAAATTGCTCGTTACAAATTGTATGAAATTCCATGTCTTATTATTCCATGAAATTCCATGTCTATTAATCGTCTTCTTTCACTACATAACTTCAGGCGCATTCCTAATTTCGTTTAAAAAATATTTAAAGTTATCTAACTTTTGTTTAGGGCTGAAACACGTATTTCAATTGCTCGATCAAAATACGTTACACTTCATTGAATCCCGGGTAAGCGGGACCATATAAACTGCCCTTATAATCAAATTTCTCATGAGAGCGAAACGCAGTGCCGTAGCTAGCTCGATAATTGGGGGGGGGGCAGATATTCATATATTCGTGTTCTGCGTTATTAATTTCTTTTGAAATCGATTGTTTTTATGGTCTGTGAACACGAATATATGAATATCTGCCCCCCCCAATTATCGAGCTAGCTACGGCACTGGCGAAATGCAAATTTTGTATCATCGCCTCTGATCATCGCCCATGTTTGTATATTTTAAATTCCGATGTATATTAAAATACGTATACTTTCAAACATCATACCTCGCATCAGACTTATAGTTCTTCAGCGAAACTTTCAGTATACATATAGATTATAGCCGTAGGCGAAATTTTTTAGTTTTGAGAGCAAAACTAATTGTTTTGCCGCTTTTGGGAGCTTTCAAAATGGTTGTAAAACTTTTGAAATGGATAAAAATTTACTATTTTCGACCCTCGACCCTCGTTATAAACGTCAATTGCATTTAGGTAATGAGTTCCACAGTTTAACTCCATCACAACAGAAGCTTTTCTTAAGGTCGAGAAATAAGCGAGATTTAAAAAAAGCTTTTAAATGTATTCCACGTCATTTTAAAAGTTCTTTCAGATAAGGGAATCTAATTTCTATATTCATGCTACTTCCGATCATATCCCTCCTCAACAGGGCCGTTCCTAGACGCGATAATGCGGGGGGTATTCATATATTCATGCTCGCTACCGTAAAAACAATCGCTTTCAAAAGAAATTCGTCGGGCAGAAGACGAATATATGAACGTACACCCCCCAATTATCACGCTAGGAACGGCCCTGTCCCTTTAATTAAACGACTGACCTTGCCCGGCTTCAATGAAAATAAGGCCGAAGTTTGACGCTTAAACTGAACTGCTTAGAGCACAACATGCTCAAATATAAGTAATTGACTGTTTATAGTAAGTATATATAGCCTTGAATCTAGCGAGTGTACAAGTGTTTCTAGTTTATTTTAATTGGCGCGCATGGATCGATCAATTGAAACAAGAATTTCAAGCAGAAATCTTAGTCTTGGAGACTTTAACAGCGTATTTTTATCTAGAAATAGGCAAACTAGTTTAAAATTATCTACGTCTTACATTTCCTATCAATAACAAGAGAAAACTAGCAAGAATGATTAAAGTTCGACTGTCTATAGTTGAAGCAAAGTGCCTAATTGTCTGAGGATTTTTAAGGGTTTTTTTGTGATTTTCTCGATATTATAGTCAGTATAATTCCGCGGTAACAAAAAGCCCCAAAATAATATTTACATCAGGTTTTAGAGCAACAGTTTGTCTTTAAATTCCGTAAATTGGAGTTTTCCCGGATACCGAAAATTAATTTTCAAAAAGTGTAACAATTTAGAATTTTTTGGATCGCAAAAAAAGACGATTTTTACACGCTTGTCTTGACATCGAAAAATCATTTCAAAAATTGCAAATTGGACCCACGGTCTTTATAAACATCTTATAAACACGTTTAAAAACGAAAGGTGAGGTTTCATCACACGCCAATTGAGAAAAACGAAATTTTCGAGAGACCGTAGCTCACAATTTTTTTTGCTAATTTCGCGAATCTCGGGTATGTGTGAGGTTTTGATAATTTTCGGCGTTTAAAATAATATTTCAGAAAACAAACCCCACCACGTTTCTGAGTACACATTAGAGTATCACTGGAAAAAATAAGAAGATTTTTTATTTTTCCTCATGTGCCACGTATTCTCGATTTTGCTCGGTTTTAGTGGACATTGTCTCTTAAATGATGAAAAGCTACTGAAGCTCAACGACAAAGAAAAACGAACTATTAAAAATAACGACGAAAGGCTGAAGGAAGACGAGAACTTTGAAAAGGAACGATTTCAATATTAACATTATAGTGACACCAATTAAAAATGTTGTAACGATTCACTACCTAAATAAAGCCTCGTAGTTATTGTTTCATATTTAATTATTTTCCCCCTGTAAATAATAATAATGTTAATGGTATAAATTGGGTTGAATTTCAGTTCGATCAAATGGACCATTTGCATTACAGACTAAGTTTTGCTCTAAACAAGCCTAGACAAAAATTGCATCACAGCTTGAAAGAGCATCACAAAATTATAAATATTCCAAAGTTTCGAAGCGAAATGTTGTAAAATGCGGATAATATAGCCTTGCAAAGTTTGCCGTTTTTCGATCATTTTGCATTACGCGGGGGAAATTGACAGCCCAATACCCTTTGGCCGTTTGGGGCTGTCAATTTCCCGTTTGTAATGCAAATTGACTGAAAAACGGCAAACATCGCAAGGCTATATTATCATGTATATTATACGTATTTTACAACATTTCGCAACGGAACATTGGAATAGTACTAATTTTGTGATGCTCTTTCAAGCTGTGATGACATTTTTGTTTTTACACCCCCCACCCTCCCTCTTTTACTATAGATGTATCGTTATACCAAAATTGGACGCCCTCTTTCAGTTTAGATCAAAATTTAGTCTACAATGCAAATGGTCCATTATTGATGTATACTTCTTTCTTTTTTTGTAAATACACAGGAAATTTTTCAACGCAATACAAAACGATATATCTTGATCTTACTGAAATCAGACTCTAAAATGCAGTTGGGGGGGGGGGGGGTCAAGGGGCCCCGCTCCAATAATATGCCACGGGCCCCGCGGAACGTTGATCCGGCCCTGGTGTGCATGTATATACTAAGGTGATCCCATTGTAAGGTGTAGGGGTAAATATAAACTAGAAGTCATGCACTTCTCCAGCAAATCAGTGAAGGCTTCTAATTGGTGATGTGTAATAGGCTACTACATTCATGCAGGTGGAAGCCAGAGCTAGGTGTATACAATATGCAGTATACATTGCACGTTATAGTATACATATAATGCATATTATTAAAAATGTATAAAATGTAATAAAACGTTTTCTCCGTTCTAATAATACGTGTGGAAAGAAAATACATTTTAAAAACCAAGAATAAAATTTCCTACCTTAATTTGACTCAGTTTAATCAATGTTTTAGAAGCGGAATATTCTTTTACATTTATGTCATATATGTGGGCCAGATACGTTGAACTAAATGCTTATGCGCATTATGCCGATACTTATACACGTATAACAGTGTAATTAAAATGATAAAATGTTTCCATTTCTTAAATGAGGACAAAAACGCTGCAAAATTACTCTCAATGATGCAAATATACGGCTCATTTTTAAACAGATGGCTTCATTTGGCTCCTTGAATATTTTACAAAAAGACTATTCTTTTACACAATTATGAACGCAGGTGCTTTGAGACTAGCACACCGTGCAGGTTTCAGTTTTGGAAGTTGTGCGAAAGAAAGAATCTTGCACTCGCTTTGGTTTATTTAATAAAAGTTATAACTTTTATAGACTGGTAGTAAGGTATACCTCACCAAGGAAATATGTACAGGATCCTTATACAACATTTAAATTTAACATTTCCTGAAAAGATTGAAAACATATATCCGTCGTCTATGGTCATCCTGTATGTGCATTGCTAAACGGGATAAGAGACTTGACAAAATTTAACAGAGAGGTGAAGTGTGGAAAACAGATCTTCGTATGCGCTTCTATCTTTCAATAAGCAGAGGAGGAGTGTGGAAAATAAATCTTTGTATTCGTTTCTAATTTGCTTCTATCTTTCAAATGGAAAACATGCAGGGGTATGTATGTCAAGAGTACAAGAAAAGACATGAATGAGCAAAAGCATTGTGGAAACACATTACATCACTACTAAAATAGTATTATTGCTTTATAACAGCTATAAATTATGTACATTATTTTGACTAATCTATGTCATTATATATTAATTAAACCTTGAACTCTGAGCGCACAGGGGATGATGGATTATTGGTTATATAGACCCATATACTTTAAAGTTTGGCTTTGCAAGAATACCTAAGACATGTAGAAGACTCACGACAGAAAACATATAGCTATACTTGCTGGAAAGGCAATTTTCTGAGTTTAAGGGCCTAATAGGTGAAAACAATCATCCCTTACGCGCTCACACCCTTACAAAAATTTCACATAACATTTCATATATGAAAATTTCATATATGAAATCGTTATATGGAATTGAAACAAATTTCATATATGAAATATTTCATATATGAAATATTTCATATATGAAATATTTCATATATGAAATTTTCATATATGAAATTGTTTCAATTCCATATAAAGATTTCATATATGAAATATTTCATATATGAAATTTTCATATATGAAATTGTTTCAATTCCACATAAAGATGTCATATAATTTATGAAATATTTCCTATATGAAATTTTCATATATTTAATTGTTTCAATTCCACATAAAGATTTCATATATGAAATATTTGATATATGAAATTTTCATATATGAAATTGTTTCAATTCCACATATAAAGATTTCATATATGAAATATTTCATATATGAAATTTTCATATATGAAACTGTTTCAATTCCACATAAAGATTTCATATATCAAATATTTCATATATGAAATTCCACATTAAGACTTCATGTATGAAATTCTCACATGTTTCAAATGTTCAAATATTAAGTTTTATGCATTGAAATTAAGCGAGTCAGGGGAAGTTTATGTGATCCCATTTACCTGAGATTAAACAAAGCGAGCAATGGCTTTGAGGTATTGAAATAAGTCCTTATGAAACCAGACAAGCACATGCTAACAACAGACTAAATATAGATCAATGCAAAAAAAAACATATTCGTACGAATTAGTGCTCAACAATTACATTTTGCCCATTTGATTTATCTACAGAACAAAATTAAAAGCCACCTGGATCATGTAATTTTTCCGAATCATTAACAAATGACTTATTTCAATATCTCAAAATCATTGCACGCTCGTTTAATCTTGTGTAAGCGGGATCATATGAACTGCCCCTTAGAAAAATCTACCTAAATAAGAAAGTTACGTGCTATGCAGGTTTGATATACCACATCAGACACTAGTTTATTCGAAATATACAAATTACAAAATAATAAAAACTTAATTACAATATACATGCAGTATATTTACTCTCGGTTACAAAAAATATCCCAAATTTTGTGTGATTTTGAGGAAATTATCCATTTGGGACATTTTTTGATACACCCTGTATATGCATTACTCAACTAAGGGACTGGTCATTATTTATGGCGGGGGTGGCACCGAAGAGAAAAGGGTTGGGTAAACTAAATTTTGAGTGAATAAAAGGTTGGGTAAATGAAAAACAAAACAACTCAAGGGTTGGGTAATAAAAAGTTATTGTCATTTTCAAAGCATGACTCACTTAAATATTGGAGACTGAAAAACAATGTCAACAGTCGTATGTCAATACAATATGTAAATCAATCAATCAGAGTCACTATCTTGATCATTTTCCGATTTGTTGGGAGACAAATGGTGTCTCCAAAGAAAGTACATGTACATACAACATGAAAGTTTAGTTATCAAACTTGTGTCACAGAAGTGGTAAAGGACATGTGTGACAACTGAATGGTATCCTTTTGTAAAGGTTTTGGCCAGGGGTGGGTATTTATTTTTAATTGATATTTGAGGTTTGGTAATCAAATTTTTTGCTTTCTAATGGTTGGGTCAGGAAAATTTTTACCATAACAAATAACTAGCGATGCAGTGGATATCATATCTGGCCAGATATTGAGATTTTACTTCATTTTCTGTTACATGGCCACCCAATACTGGGTATTATTTACATAAGGTTCAGGCCTTCAAGATTTACAGTTACTGCAGGTTAGATGATTTGATTAGGTTAGATGATTTGATTAGGCTAAAAAAGCAGGGGTGGTTATCATATTTTTATTCAATGATTGATAACAGGAATGCTTGTAAACACTATTTTCAAGATTTTATATGCTTGTTTGTAAATGCAGATTTGACCATTGAACTAATGCAAGTGAGGCTTTTGCTACCAATGATGCATGTTTACTAGTGCTAGACTGTGAAGTTCTTTCCTATTATTTCAAATCAAAATTTTATAAACACCATTGATCACTTTTTAACCAATTAAAATGATTACTTAAATTAACCTTAAATGAGGCCTGAACCTTATATACTTGAATAATACCCTGAATCTGGCTCCAGGGATATTTTTCAACTATCCAACATATCCTCAACTATCCAACATATCTGGCTGGAGGGCAAAAAGACTCTACCCTGCACACCCCTACAAAGAACTTAAAGTATGTAACACAAGAAGAAATTGCTCCTTAGGTGTTAATAGGTGAAATATGGGCAAGTAGTCCACAGTCGATAATCAAAATTGTCTAGCATGACATGTCAGAGTTGAATATCAAAGTACAGGTACTTACAGTAGGTAGTGTTAGGGAAAATTGTATCTAAATATATCAACATGAAACATGGGCAGAGTCTAGCTAGACAGTTCCCTTGACAAATAAAATTGTCACGAATTAGGCAAGATAACATTTAACAAAGTGCTGAAAATTGGGCTCATTGGAGTGAATCAGTGAAATGGGTAATAATTCCAAAAACCATCAAATCCTTGCCGGGGTGTATATCTCAAATATATAAAATGTAGCCCAAAGGTTGTTACATATATTATTAAACAGATCATCTGATCATGCAGGTGGCATAAATAAATGTTATTTGCTGTGTTGGTGTAATGTACTCAGGTGAATAAGATGCTTGTGTGATGTTACTCTGATTGTATATCCTCACAAGGCAGGCTTGAAAAATATACCTGGCCACGGTGGGATTCGAACCTACGACCTTTGAAGTACTAGCCCAATGCTCTTCCAACTGAGCTACGCGGTCAGGTCAGTTCGAGTATGCTATATTTCGGAACTGAGTCTAGTTCCTTCGATATCAGTGTAATCTTTTATAATCATTTGCTGTGTTGGTGTAATGTACTCAGGTGAATAAGATGCTTACAAGTGTGATGTTACTCTGAGTGTATATATATATACACCACCTGGCCACAGTGGAAAATATGCCTGCCCGGTGTGGATATACACTCGGAGTAACACCATAACATCACACAAGCATATAAAACTAAATGAATTCATATAAAGTTTGAAAGTTGCCACACAACCCATCAAATTGACAACTTTTATCTACACTGACCCACCTATATATGAATAAATATTAATAGAAACTTATGAAAGTACCAGTTAATTGGAAACAAATCGATAAATTCTCTCAAACCATGTTTACCTAGGACATACCTAGGTAGGCACATGAGAATTGAGTAGATCAAGTAGATGCCAAGCTAATATTATTTTATACAAGGAACACTTGATCTGGCAATCCGTCATATACACAACTAGTCTACTTGGCATTTAAACAAACATAATTTGATATAAAGGCTGAGTCAAATGTAAGCCTTTGTCTAAAAACTAATGTATTTATATTGTCGCAGCGAATTCAAATTTTAAGACGGAACACATGCTCAAAATTCACGAATGAAGATAATAAATATTTCCTTTCAAAATTGCTCTGTTATATAGAAAACAAAACAATATTCTTACCTGGAAGTTACTCAGTCATCCCTGATGTTCCATCTTCGCTAAAATATACCATCTTCCAGTAAAATACTATAAATCTTTCGATCGAGCAGATGAAAATTCACTGCATTTCAAAAATATGGCGGTGTGATCGAATGATGCTATCCCAGGAAGCTTTGCGCGTGTTGTAGGAAAACTAGGCACCAGTCTGTCAACCGTCAAAAAGCGCTCATCATGAGAATTTTCGTTTTCAAAATGGTCTTTTGTATAACAAAAATACCTACCTCCACAAGCTATAATATAGTTCCCATGAAGTCATGAAGAATTTAAGATTAACTCAATCCCTCAATCAAAACATTGGTATCGAAATTGAGGAGACCGGACTCAGGCCTGGAACACCTGGGGGCCCAACTTGCGGGCAGGGGGCCCTGGCATGCTGGAATTGCGAAATTTGTAAAATTAAGGATTTGTTCGGTGAATTATGGAATTTTCTGGGAAATTTAGGTCGAAAATTAGTGTTGCGAAAAATTTTGGGGACTTTTGTTTTCGGAAACATAACGTCGCCCCATCCCCCCCCCCACTCGCGACCGTTTTCCGGAAAAGAAAATGTTTTCGAGGGGGTCCTGCTTGGGTAGGGAGGCCCAAATTTTTTAATACGCCCCCCCCCCCCCAATCGTATACCGGTTGGCACGGCCCTGTCAGTTTATACTATAATAATTAGTCAGTATAGTCTTTTAAATATAAAATGCTTGAAGAATTAAGTTCAAGAAACTTGAAGAAGGAATATCTTCAAAGAGCTGCCAACATTTCACATGTTGTCTTTTATTCTCCTGTAACATAACGGTTGTAAATGTAGTTTCAAATCGAGTTGCAAATCTAGGGTTAAAAAAAGATCAAATCTACTCTTTTGAATTTTAATACAGTGTAGGCCAGTCTCTCTCCTCCGCAGAGGCTTACATGAAGTTTCTAGTGGGGGGAAAAGTATGCGCGCAAGGAGTGATGGGAAGAGCTAAAACTTCATGTAAGTTATTTGTAAATACTTAAGGAGGCTCTGCGGAGGAGAGGGGTAGGCCAGTTGCAATTACAATTCACTATGACATAAATTACGTGTATGAAATTACTTTAATTGTCATATGTGAAATGTATAATTTCATAATATGTGAAATATATGACTTGATTTTCATATATGAAAATTCACATATGAAATTACCAATATTAACATATGAAATGGTTTCATATATGAAATTTCTTTTTTCATATGTAAATTGTATATTACTTCATATATGACTTGATTTCATATATGAAAATTCTTATATGAAATTAGCTACCAAATTTCACATGTGAAACGGATTTCATATATGAAATTTAGTTTTCCATATGTGAATTGTATAACTTCATATATGACTTGATTAGTCATATATGAAAATTCTTATATGGAATTACCAACTTTCACATGTGAAATGGATTTCATATATGAAATTTCTTTTTTCATATGTGAATTGTATAACTTCATATATGACTTGATTTTCATATATGAAGATTCTTATATGAAATTACCAAATTTCACATGTGAAATGGATTTCATATATAAAATTTATTTTTTCATATGTGAATTGTATAACTTCATATATGACTTCATTTTCATATATGAAAATTCTTATATGAAATTACCAAATTTCAGTGTGAAATGGATTTCATATATGAAATTTTGTTTTTCATATGCGAATTGTATAACTTCATACATGACTTGATTTTCGAAATATGACAATTCTTATATGAAATTACCAAATTTCAGTGTGAAATGGATTTCATATATGAAATATAGTTTTTCATATATGAAATTAAAATTTCATATATGACCTGCTTTTCATATATGGAAATTTAATATGTGAAAAAGAGAATTTCACATATGAAACTGAAATTTCATATATGAAATTACCTTTTCACATGTGAAATTCTAATTTCATATATGAAAATCTTCATTTCATATATGAAAATCTTCATTTCATATATGAAATTCCAATTTCATATATGAATTTTAATGTGAAATTTTTGTAAGGGCATAAATATACGAAATTCTAAAAAAATCCCTGAGATATATGAATATCCGTATGATTATTGAAGTACATATGCAAATTAAAAATGTTTCTCTAATGCATATTTATCTGATTTGTGTTTAAAAGATTTAGTATTCAACGAGCTCTGGAACTTTGTTCCATATAGTGAAGGTGGATGGTCAAGGGTGTTCAGTTCATACTGCAACGTCGACTTATATACCCGCTCTCCTCACGAGCTAATATATTAATTTCTGTAAGAGAGCATTGCAAATTACCGTAAGTTTTTGAGTTTAGATCGTTGGTTTACACATTTTGTGGAGGGGTATAGGGAGCCCTCAGTTTGTTACAGCGGAGTATTTTAAAAAGAATATTTGCATAACCTTTCCTGTATTTGGTATATCTCATTCCATAAATGAAAGCATTCACGATGGAGTTTATTCCATAAAATTCATATTGAAACACTACGAACCATATCCGACGGCATGACTCACTGCATGAAAGCTGTATCGTCAATCCAATCACGGCTGGCGCAAAGACAAAGAAAGTCAGCAATGCAACAACAATGGAAAATGTCTTTGCTGCTTTCAAACCAACGAGAAAACGGACGACACCAATCAGTCTCTTGGACGACAGCTCGCTGGAATTGTTAACGGTTACCGCTGTTTCAGCCAAGATTCGTTTCCGTTGTTTTCGTGCAACATTTATAATTTGGAAATTGAGAATAAAGATTAAACTAAGTGGAACATAGCAGACAAAAATGTTCATGAAGATGAAACAATTGTGGGATATGTGGCAATTGCTTCTAAATCCACTCTCAGACCCAAAATGAATTAATAATCCAATGAAAAGGCAACACGTGGTCAGCCAAATCACTGAAATAGCTAGAAAAACTCGTCGTTTAGTCACAATCATTGGATACTGCAGAGGTTTTACAATATATAAATACCGATCAACAGTAATTGCGAGAAGTGTAGCCACTGAAGCGAACAACAATGCCCACATGGTAGAACGACTTGATTTACAAAATACATCTTGATCACTATCCGTGTTTAATATAGTCTGTATAAACTCAATGATCCATATCGGATAAAATGTTAAACATACGAGAAGATCTGCCAGTGCCAAGTTTACTACCAAATACGATGTTGTTGTTTTGTCTTTGTTAAAGAAAATTGTACCAATTATAACTGTGATATTTCCCAAAACTCCAATAATCATCGCGATGAATTTGAACATAACTGAAAATAGTAGAACCTCGCTTGGAATTGTGGAGAAAGGCACAGTTATATTAGTTGAGTTGTTTGCCATGCATGATGGCTATCCTTTATGTGCATAGATATAAGGAGAAGAATGCTTTGAAGTTTGGAAGTAAATTTTTGAATATTCCGCGGTATGTCTGTTGCGAAAAAATCGAAAATGATCAAAACTATAAAGCAACGGCTTTTTGTTTGTGTATACCGCCGGTTGGCAGCATCAAAACAGAATTTAAGAACATTACGGTCATTCGCTACTTGAAACCATCAAATGAAAGCCTTGATCAAGTATATAAGCTTGTCAATATGCACAGATGGCCTGCTTTAAACTATTGCTTGATCTTCATATTGTTTTTCGAATTTTCTATCAGGATTGAAGCTTGAATCATTAAAACACTTCCTATCTATAAATTCAATAATCCATATCGGATAAAATGTTAAACATACGAGGATATCTGCCAGTGCCAAGTTTCCTACCAAGTAAGATGTCGCTGTCTTTTTTTTCCTCAAAAAAATTGTATAAATTATGACTGTGATATTTCCTAAAACTCCAATAACCATCGCGATGAATTTAAATATAACCAATGGAAGAAGAACCTTGCTAGGCACTGGGGTAAAAATAGTTAAAGTATTTGCCATAGTTATCCTTTATGTGAACATAAGGACAAGACTGCTTTTATGTTTGAGAGTTCTTTAATTATTCCCAAGAGAATAATCATGATATGGCGATGATGTTTCGTTTGCATACGCATCAATAATTGTCGCCAACATCAAAACAACTTCATACACTCAGGAATTTAATATTCATATTTTCTTTTTTAGCAAGAGTTTACAGAACGGTCATTAACTACTTATTACTTACCGAAAAAATGCATATTAATATATCGCAAGCTTAAGAGGCAGTCCGTGTAAAAACCGACCACTCGAATTTCTTAAGATTACAGATTTCCTTCAAACTTTCTGTGTGGAAGAAGTCATTCATAAAATGAACAAAAAACGTT